TTTTCTCCTGTGTGTGTTTTCTGATGTGTATTGAGGTGTGACTTTATGAGAAAAGACTTTCCACATGTGTCACATTCATATGGTTTCTCTCCTGTATGTGTTTTCTGATGCACACTGAAGTATGACTTTGTGAGAAAAGACTTTCCACATCTGTTACATTTATATGGTTTCTCTCCTGTGTGTGTTGTCTGGTGTATACTGAGGGATGATTTGTAGACAAAATACTTTCCACATTTGTTACACTCATAAGGCTTCTCTCCTGTATGAATTGTCTGGTGATAATTGAGGATTGCCTTCGTGGTGAAAGACTTTCCACAGATGTTACATTCATATGGTTTTTCTCCTGTGTGTATTTTCTGATGTGCATTGAGGTGTGACTTCATGAGAAAAGACTTTCCACATGTGTCACATTCATATGGTTTCTCTCCTGTGTGTATTTTCTGATGGTCAATGAGGTTAGACTTGTAGAAGAAAGACTTTCCACATGTGTTGCAGTTATAAGATTTCTCTGCTGTGTGTTTATTCTGATGGCTACAGAGATGTGACATCCGTCTAAAAGACTTTCCACATGATTTACATTCATATGGTTTCTCCCCGGTGTGTGTTCTCTGATGCCTAGTGAGGTTGGACTTGATGACAAAAGACTTTCCACATGTGTCACATTCATATGGTTTCTCCCCGGTGTGTGTGCTCTGATGCATGCGGAGATGTGAAATCATTATGAAAGACTTCCCACACGAGTTACATCCATAAGGTTTCTCTCCAGTGTGTGTTTTCTGATGTCTGCGGAGATACCACATCTGGGTGAAAGACTTTCCACATGTGTTACATTCATATGGTTTCCCTCTTGTATGGGTAAGCTGATGCTTGTGGAGAGAAGACATCTTGCTGAAAGACTTTTCACATGACTCACATTCATATGGTTTCTCCTCTGTGTGTGTGTTCTGATTCCTTTTAAGGTTTGATTCGATGACAAAAGCATTTCCACATGCATTACGTTCAGATTGTTTCTCTCCTGTATGTGTGCTCTGATGTTTGCGGAGATAAGACCTCTGGCTGAAAGACCTTCCACACACGTTACATTTATGTGGTTTCTCCCCTGTATGTTCTCTGATGCACCTCGAGCTATGATTTCCTTTTGAAAGACTTTGCACATGGGTTATATTCATAAGATTTCTCTCCTGTGTGTCTTTTCTGATAAACATTGAGGTATGGGTTTTGCTTGAAAGACTTTCCACATGTGTTACACTCATGTGATTTGTTTCCTGCTTGAGTTCTCTGAGGCTTGCTGAGATCTGATTTCTGGTAATTACATTCATTATATTCATGGGGTATCTCTCCTGAGAGAGTTTCCCGCTGTACACTGAGATCTGATTTGTAGTAAGAAGATTTGTTTCATTTTTCACACCTAAAAAACGAACTCTTTCCTCCACTATGTTGCTACTTTTGATTATGACTTGTAACAGATGTCTGTCTGGACTTTCCTGGCACATTTCACCGAAGCCATCTACTTGCTGGACATCTAAAATGTTTAACAAATAAGTAGATTAAAATCATGAGGGCATCCAAGAATTATTTAGAGAATACTCAAGTAAAGGTAAACACATTTCCTCCCATTCTACTTACTAAAGATAATACTACTAGGAATGGAATTATGAGAATTGAATGCATTCCTAAGGAGTTACTTAACAAATACTAATAAAATCATATTCTTCTCTGGTTCTTAAAGTCTTATTGTGTGTTTAAATATCAGAGGAAATATTTGGTCAAAATACTCAATAACTGCTATTGCTTTTAAGCTGAAGACAAATAATCTGCCAATTATTTCTCTTCCTTTCTTTTCTTTCAATTTTTTTTTTATTTTTGGTCTGTTGCAGGGCTTGAACTCTGGGTCTGGGCACTGTCCCTGAGGTCTTCAGCTCTACCACTTGAGCCACAGTATCATTTCCAGTTTTCTGGTGGTTAACTGGAGATAAGAGTCTCATGGACTTTCCTGCCTGGGCTGGCTTTGAACTGAGATCTTCAGTCTTCAGCCTTCTGAGTAGCTAGGATTACAGGCATGAGCCACCAGCACCCGGCTCAATTTTGTTTTGTTTTAGGGAAGTTTTTATATATTTTGCAAAAATTATGTGCTACTTTCCTTCTGAAACCTTTAGATTTGAAGATAGCATGTGTTCCAGGTTCAGAGAACCTAAGGATATATAAAAGGGTAAATTACCTGTCACCTAAGCAGGAGTGGTTCCTGAAGAGAAGATTCATGCCTATCTTTGACAAACTCTCCTCCCAGAAAATTCTACCTGGTACCTATGGGGATTTTCAAGTCTCTTTTTTTTTGTATGTTCTAAAAAATATCTTCCACATTCCTATTTTCGTAGCATTGCCCACATGGGTGACACTAGACCCCCAAACTTGGTTACATTTTTTAAAAGCTTTGGTTCTGAATCCTAGGTTTCTGCTCCACCATTGAGAAGTTTCTTTTCTGACTTATCTGAGGCTGCAAATATCCTGTCCTCCTTAGTTCCTGATACCATCTATCTACAGGGTTAACAGAAAATGGAGTTCCTGTAAGTTTTCCATTTTCTTTTTTTGTTTCAGAATGGGTTCCAAAGATAAAAGAGAAATGCTAACCTTAAATACTCTCACATAGATTTTAGGATGCTCCACATTAGTGTTGGTTCACTTGGACTTGAGTCCAAAGAACTTCTTTTCTGCCACACACAGTATGGGGACCCTCATCCAGATGGGAGCTGTGAATATTTGCAGTGACTGATCTTACTAGAAAACTTATTGTTTTATGGTTCTTTATCCTGTATTTAAGACAGGATTTTTTTGGAGGGGGGTGGTGCTGGTAGTGGGGCTTGAACTCTGGGCCTGGGCCTGAGCTCTTCAGCTCAAAGCTAGCACTCTACCACATGAGCCATCGTGCCACTTCTGGTTTCCTGGTGGTTAACTGGAAATAAGAATCTCACAAAATTTCCGGCCCTGGCTTGCTCTGAACCACAGTCCTCAGATCTCAGCCTTTTGAATAGCTAGGATTACAGGCACCTGATTTATACAAGATCAATTTTTCTAATCTTCCTGTCAAAGACAGGAAAAGTGCCTTTGTGTACTCACATTACTGCCTTCTAATATCTTCTTTCTTTTTTTTTTTTTCGGCTGGTTGTGGGACCTGAATGCTGGGCCTGGGCACTGTCCCTCAGCTCTTCAGCTCAAGGCCAGCACCATACCACTTGAACCAAAGCACCACTTCCAGCTTTTTCTGCTTATGTGGTGCTAACGAATTGAACCCAGGGTATCATGCAAGCAAGGCAAGCACTCTACCGAGCCACCTTCCCAACCCCCTCATATCTTATTTCTTATTGCTTAGAATATGCCTATTTGATCTGTTCCTGTAATTCCCATAAGCTAGCCTTGGTAAAATCTGATGATATAGAGGCAAAAAAAGGAGAGACATTGTCTATTAAGTCATGTAGGTTAGTTACATTCATTCCTCCTCTTATGATGTTATTACAAAGTTATAGTATGTCTTCATCCATTACCCTAGTACCTGCTGGAAAGAATCAGGAACACAGGAATCCAGGAGATGGGATAGGAATGAGAACATCTCAATATAGTCACATCTTCTGAGCTCTCTCTTTTTAACATCCATGTCCAGCAAACGCTGACTCACCTGTGATATTCTTATCTAGGGCTTCTCCCAGCCATGGTTCTGCTCCTTGCTCCAGCTTAACAATCACTTCAGGTTTAGGAACACAGTGTCCTGTTAATGGGGAATATAGAACTTTGGTCTGGTATAATGATCTCAGACAACCTGGTAGAAGGCTACTTTTGAACCTATTTTCTTATTTCTCATCAATTCTAAAGAAGACCTCAAATATGTGCTTTTGATTTTAAATACCAGTTTTAAATTACTGAATTCCAAATTCGTGTCTATAATAGTGATGTGCACTTTATATTAGATTGTATATCAACCTATATATCGTATGGCAAATTTAGAAAAGCATCACATAAAAATTAAGTTATCCTGGGGGAAACAGGGAGAGAAAACGAGGTATTGCATAACACTTTCCAACAGCAATGTCCTCATTTCCCGACAAATGTAACTGTAACTACTCTATACATCGTGTTTACAATAAAATATTAAATATTAAAATAGGGGCTGGGAAGGTGGCTCAGTGGTAGAGCGCTTGCTTTGCATGCCTGAGGCCCTGGGTTCGATTCCTCAGCACCACATAAGCAAAAAGAAAAAAGCCAGAAGTGGCACTGTGGCTCAAGTGGTAGAGTGTTAGCCTTGAGCTGAAGAGCTGAGGGACAGCGCCCAGGCCCAGAGTTCAGGCCCCACAACCGGACCCAAAAAACAACAAAAATAAATAAATAAAATAAATAAATAAATATTAAAATAATATAAAGATTTTCTTAAGTAAATAATATCTCTTGGGCTGGGAAGGTGGCTCAGTGGTAGAGTGCTTGCTTTGTAAGCATGAGGCCCTGGGTTCGATTCTTCAGCACCACATAAGCAGAAAAAGCCGCAAGTGGCGCTGTGGCTCAAGAGGTAGAGGACTAACCTTGAGCTGAAGAGCTGCGGGACAGTGTCCAGGCCCAGAGTTCAGGCCCACAACTGACAAAAAAAACCATAAAAATAAATAATAATATCTCTTATTCAATATTTTCCTCAGTCTCATCCAGGTAAAACTTCTTTGTGGAAGCTGGGCACCAGTGGCTCACGCCTGTAATCCTAACTTCTTAGGAGGATGAGATCTGAGGATCGAGGTTCAAAGTCAGCCCCAGCAAAACTCCATGAGACTCTTATCTCCAATAAACCACTCAGAAAACTGGAAGTGGTGCTGTGACTCAAGTGGTAGAGCGCTTGCTTTGAGCTGGAGAGCTTCACTTAATATGGCCCAGAGTTAAAGCGCCACGACGGACAAAAGAAAAACAAAAACTTTTTTGTGGATCTCATCTCACAACTAAACATATTTGTTTTGTTTGTGTCTGTTCTGAAAATAGTATTAAGTTCATTCAAAGGAAATATATTTGATTTTTCTTGTTATTCTACACATCACAAAAATAAAAGCACATGCAAATTATTCTACTAACCAACCTTGAAGGAATTTATGAAGTATTAGTAAATGTTTAGGGGGAAAGATTTTATCATTGGATAGAGAAAAAGTAACTGAAAATATAGAAAAACTAACCAAGAAGAAAGTCTAAGAGCCAGAACATGACTAGAGTCTCAGTAACACTTAAAGAAACAAAAATGAGGAGGTACATTTATAAAAGAGATACCAATGAAGACTGCAGAGGGCAGATGTCCAGTGCATGACAGGATCTGTCTTCAGGTGTGGGAACTGTGGAGAACAGCTCAACACAGCCACACTGGCTCTGATCTTCACAACCTCCCTGTCTAAACTGCACTGAATCACCTGGGAAGCCCTGTTTAGAGTATCCTTCTTCCATCAATGGCTCTGCTGTTTGCTCTGGCTTCAGAAGTAAGTCAGATTTGGGAAACTAGTGCCCTGTTATTGGGTAATAGGATAGAACTTTCACCAAACTACTTAGAAGAATGAACTTTTTCTTATGGGGACATGATGGTCCTCAAAAAACAGAATATTGGTCTGGGAAGGTGGCTCAGTGGTAGAGCGCTTGCCTTGCATGCTCAAGGCCCTGGGTTCGACTCCTCAGCACCACATAAGCAAAAAGAAAAAAGCCAGAAGTGGCGCTGTGGCTCAAGTGGTAGAGCACTAGTCTTGAGCTGAAGAGCTGAGGGACAGTGCCCAAGCCCAGAGTTCAGGCCCCATGACTGGACCCCCCCAAAAAAAACCCAGAATATTACATCTAAATAGCATTAAATCTGATCCATATTCATATATCTATCAAGAACAAAGCACTTGCTCATGAGAATTAATGTGACCTTTGCTCACCCAAGGACACCAGGTTGCTATAGATCTCCAGCATTACATCCTTATACAGGGTCCTCTGAGCATCATCCAGGTCCTTCCACTCCTCCCAGCTGAAGTCCACAGACACATCCTCAAATGATACCAAACCCTGTAACGGCATATTTAAGAAGTCATTAGCCATGAGTCATAAGATAACCAACTCTGAGGACTCTATTTCTCTACATGTATGTTCCTGTCTTACATAAAATGGTTGGAGAGCCAGGAATGTTGCTTATTGGTAGAGGGCTGGCCTAGCATGAATGAAGCCCTGGGTTTAATTCCTCAGTAACACATAAACAGAAAAAGCTGGAAATGGCACTGGGGCTCAAGTGATAGTGTGCTAGCCTTGAACAAAAGCAGCTCAGGGACAATGCCCAGGCCCTGAGTTCAAGCCTCAGGACTGGAAAAAAAAATGGCTGGACCTTGCTCTGTTATCTATGCAATACAGGAAAGAAAAGTCAAAGTATATATAGCTGCCTCTATACAAACTTATTAACTATTAAAATAAGTTTCACCTTATTAATCAGGAAGTGCTTCTGGTGCTAGCAATAGAAACAAGATAAAATTCCTCTTTTAAAGAGCTAATGACCTTCACTACTGGCATCAATTGTAACTAGATGCCTAGAAACTAGATCATCCAGAGCTCAGTCAAGAAATCACAAGGGGTTATTTCTTTGTTGCTTTGTATGTCCCTCCCCCACAGTATAACCCCTGCTTTCACTGCATTTGATGTGGGTATAATTTGTGGAGGGGAAGGGGAAAAACAAATTGTTTAACTAGGGATACAGGTGGACCCATTGCAACAATGAGATGTACAAGTCGTTATGTTGAAAATGAACTTTACAGCTTTGGTTGGGGGGGAAGAGGGGAGGATTGGGTGGAGGATGGGAAGCGATGGGAAGGGGAAAAAAAGGAGGAGGCTACAATGCTTGATAAGAAATGTACTTATCAGCACCACATAAGCAGGGGAAAAATCCGGAAGTGGCGCTGTGGCTCAAGTGGTAGAGTGCTAGCCTTGAGCCTAAGAGCTGAGGGACAGCGCCCAGGCCCAGAGTTCAGGCCCACAACTGGACAAAATAAATAAATAAAAAGAAATCACAAGGGGTACCAACCACATTAGCATATCTATAAAAACACAGTGCCTAGGTAAGTGTTAAAGAAAGTAACAGTACTCAAGAAATTGATTAGTAATAATCTGGGACACACAATATTTTACTTAGTTCTCACAATAAAGGTCTCATTATTAGTATAACCCTAAAGATGTTCTGAAACCTTCTTATACGTCATTCCTAAAAACCATAGAACTGGTAGCATTAACTATTATGACATCACCCTCCTTCTGCATTACAAAACATTAATCATAATGAAATAAAATGTGTCTTGACCATATTTGCATTTACTAATACCTCATAGAAGGATGGAAGGGACATGGAAAAAGAACTAAGAGAGAGAATATCAGAAAGCACTGTGAGACCTAGCAATCCCCAGCAAGGCAAAGAAAAATAAGAATAAAGATCAGGGAAGGGCTGGGAAGGTGGTCAGTGGTAGAGTGCTGGCCTAACATACATGAAGCCCTGGGTTTAACTCCTTAGTAGCACATACACAGAAAAGGCCGGAAGTGGCACTATGGCTCAAGTGGTAGAGTGAACTAGCCTTAAGCAAAACAAGCTCAGGGATAGTTTCCACACCCTGAGTTTAAGCATTAAGAAAAAAAAAAAAAGCCGGTGCCTCCTAGTTATTCAGGAGGCTGAGATTTTGAGGATTGCGGTTCAAGGCCAGCCCAGGCAGGAAAGTCTGTGAGACTCTTATCTCCAATAAACCACCAGAAAACTGGAAGTGGAGTTGTGGCTCCAGTGATAGAGTGCTAGCCTTAAGCTGAAGAGCTGAGGGACAGCACCCAGGCCAGAGTTCAAGCCCCACAACCAACAAAAATAAAGAAAAAAAGAAAAGAAAAGAAAATCAGGGAAACGATCCAAAATGTGGAAGAAAATAAAAGAGGGTACAACAGTATTTGGTACTAATGTCTTATGCAGAAGGCACAAGGAAAGATAAATTCCCATGCTGAGTCTCACTACAAAAAAAGAATGACTAACCATTTTTCTACTGTCACTATGCTTAACAATACCAGAAATGAATGATGACCCCCCAATACACCAAAAGGAAATATGTGTATAAAGTATTAAAAGAAAATAACTTCCTTCACCCCAACAGTTCCAGAGGAACTATTCTAAAAATATGTATTGAATATATTTTCTGATTAAGCTAATTTATCAGCAACACACCTGCATTACTAGAGAGCTACATGAAAAGATGCTACATCACAATATGTGCTAACTTAGATGTACTCATAGAATCAGGATCACAGAAATAGTGAAATTGTAGGTAAGCATAAAGGACTACTCTACACACACACACACACACACACACACACACACACACAGAGAGATACGGATACAAACATATTTACTTTATGTAATTTTTTAAATAATGGCTTAATGTAAAAATACAATAGTATATAGGTGATTCATATAAATGAGAATTCAATATGTGCATACATACATGTATTGATTACAAAAGTACATGCACTAGGGATAAAGAACCAATATCCAGCTGCTACTGCACTTGCTTTGTACATGTCATGCCCTAAGTTCAAAGCCACAATATAGCCAATTTTTTAAAGGTATTAAGCATAAAGCTTATATATAGAGCTATTCCCTTGTAAAGCACCTATAGATTTTGATGCAGTAAAACAGTACTCTAAACATATTCAAAACTGAGAGTAACAAATAATAATGCAATGCATTACAGTATATTAGTTTCCTATGGCTGCCATATCAAAACAGAATTCAGGGGGTTGGGAAGGTGGCTCAGTGGTAGAGAGCTTGCCTTGCATGCCTGTGGCCCTGGGCTCAATTCCTCAGCACCACATAAGCAAAAAAGAAAAAAACCTGGAAGTGGTGCGGTGGCTCAAGTGGTAGAGCACTAACCTTGAGCTGAAGAGCTGAGGGACAGCGCCCAGGCCCAGAGTTCAGGCCCCACAACCGGATCCCCCCCCCCCAAAAAAAAAAACAGAATTGAGAGAGAAATATATTTTCTTGTAGTTCTAGAGATGAGAATTGAAAAACAATAGAACAATTGCCTGTAGGTTTGGCTTCTTCTAAAACATCATGCTTCAGGCTGAGGATGAACTTCCAGTAAATGTAAAATCACTCATTTTTCATTCATTAGGAAAAATGTAGTACCATACTCCATTAGTGCTCATCCATGATAACCTTAAAATACAGTGGGCCTTGCATATTTGTGAGTCCCACAAATTCAACCAGCTATGGATCCAGAACTTTGAAAACATATAGCTACTGTACTGAACATGTACAGTCCTAAAATTTTGTGATATACACTGGAAAATGCCAAATATCAACTACTTACATTGCATTTAATTTGTACTAGTTGTCAGAGGTGATTTAAAGTATATAGATGGATGTGTGCTGCTTATATGAAATCACAACACAGTTTTACATAAGAAACATGAACATCTATTTTGCTATTTGTGGATACCCAGAGATGACTATGCTAGAAAGATATGATCACACCCCTAAAAAGATAGAAAGTAACAAATAAATATCAGATAAAGCAAGGAGAAAGTAAGTAGCAAAATGGTAGACATAAATGAAACCATATTAGTATGTAATGTAAATGGAGTAAAGATATATGCCATTGCCTGACATGAGAAAAAAGGGAAACAATTCAATAATATACTACTCATAAAAGCATACCTTTTAGAATACAAAAATAGGGCTGGGAAGGTGGCTCAGTGGTAGAGTGCTTGCCTTGCATGCCTGAGGCCCTGGGTTTGATTCCTCAGCACCACATAAACAAAAAGAAAAAAGCTGGAAGTGACACTGTGGATCAAGCAGTAGAGTGCTAGCCTTGAGCTGAAGAGCTGAGGGACAGCGCCCAGGCCCAGGGTTCAGGCCCCACGACCGGACTCCCCCCCCCAAAAAAAAAGAATACAAAAATAAACACGAAGATGAAATAAGCAAAAACCCAATTGTTAGGCCCAGCTTAGCCAAAGTAACTCCATTTTGTAAAGGCAGCCATCTGGTTTGTAAAGTATAAGTATGAGCTGACCATGCCCGCACCTGTTCTTTGTGCAGTAAGGGCAAACCGACTCTGTCTGTAAGGGAACTGTAAGGTCTGCACAAGGACACCTCTCTCCTTTTTGGCTAAGTTTCCGCCTAGTATATGTTACCCAGGTAACTGGCAGACCAGGAAGCAGTCACCTTCCCCTCCTACTAGGTCATATCCTGGGCCACCTCTGGTCACATGCCTTCCATCTGACCCTAGGAGGGTCCCAGACCCTGAGGTCACATCCAGATCCAGTGTGGCCACACCTCTTCCTGCCCCAGGCCTAGATAAGTCCTGGCCCAGAGGTGGGTCACAGCTCTTCCTCCCCTCCCCCCCTTTTCCTTTTCAGCTGTGCTTCTCCACCATGCATGGGGGGGTAAGGGGTGGGGAGGGAGGTAGCAGTTCAGTAAATAAACTTCTTTTCCTGCCTGAATAGCTCATGGTGTTCTCTTGATCAGCTACCTAATGAAACCTACTTAGTTAATATACCTTACAGAACCAAAAGAAAAAAAGAAAAACAATTTCCAAAAACGGCCAGTTAGCAGAAATGAAGCCTGGGGGGGGGGGGAGAGAAGGAAGGGAAGGGCAGGCCAGGCCAGGTGGAGGTGTCCAATCAGTAAAAAGCACATATGTAACCCTTCTGTTTTAACCAATAAGAGTAAAATTAGCTACATGTTTACAATTAGTTTGTAGTTTGCTGTTTTGCCCTATAAAAGCTAGCCTGTGAGACTAGGTGGGGGTCACTCTCCACAGACACAGCCCTGACCAGTTAGTTTGATTCTTGACACTTGGCAGGGAATAAAGCTTTGCTTGACTTCACTTTGTATTAGTCTTGTTCCTTTGATCAAGGACCCTTATCACCAATGTCTCTATTTTCAAATAAAAGGAAAGCAATGGTACTCACTGGAAACCGTGTTGAAAATGAACTATAGAACATGTGGGTATGAAGGGAGGAAAAAAACTGGAGAAAAGTGAGAGAAGGAGTGACATTATCCAAAAGGATATCTCTTTGCCTGACTTACGTAAGTGTAAACTTTTGTTTAATTAAAAATAATAATAAGGGGCTGGGAAGGTGGCTCAGTGGTAGAGCGCTTGCCTTGCATGCATGAGACCCTGGGTTCGATTCCTTAGCACCACATAAGCAAAAAGAAAAAAAAAAGCCGGAAGTAACGCTGTGGCTCAAGTGGTAGAGCGCTAGCCTTGAGCTGAAGAGCTGAGGGACAGCGCCCAGGCCCAGGGTTCAGGCCACATAACTGGACCCCCCCAAAAAAAATATACAAAAATAAACACAAAGATGAAATAAGCAAAAACCCAATTGTTAGGCCCAGCTTAGCCAAAGTAACTCCATTTTGTAAAGGCAGCCATCTGGTTTGTAAAGTATAAGTATGAGCTGACCATGTCCGCACCTGTTCTTTGTGCAGTAAGGGCAAACCGACTCTGTCTGTAAGGGAACTGTAAGGTCTGCACAAGGACACCTCTCTCCTTTTTGGCTAAGTTTCCGCCTAGTATATGTTACCCAGGTAACTGGCAGACCAGGAAGCAGTCACCTTCCCCTCCTACTAGGTCATATCCTGGGCCACCTCTGGTCACATGCCTTCCATCTGACCCTAGGAGGGTCCCAGACCCTGAGGTCACATCCAGATCCAGTGTGGCCACACCTCTTCCTGCCCCAGGCCTAGATAAGTCCTGGCCCAGAGGGGGGTCTCTGCTCTTCCTCCCCTCCCCCCCTTTTCCTTTTCAGCTGTGCTTCTCCACCATGCATGGGGGAGTAAGGGGTGGGGAGGGGAGGCAGCAGTTCGGTAAATAAACTTCTTTTCCTGCCTGAATAGCTCATGGTGTTCTCTTGATCGGCTACCTAATGAAACCTACTTAGTTAATATACCTTACAAAACCAAAAGAAAAAAAGAAAAACAATTTCCAAAAACGGCCAGTTAGCAGAAATGAAGCCTGGGGGGGGGGGGGAGAAGGAAGGGAAGGGCAGGCCAGGCCAGGTGGAGGTGTCCAATCAGTAAAAAGCACATATGTAACCCTTCTGTTTTAACCAATAAGAGTAAAATTAGCTACATGTTTACAATTAGTTTGTAGTTTGCTGTTTTGCCCTATAAAAGCTAGCCTGTGAGACTAGGTGGGGGTCACTCTCCACAGACACAGCCCTGACCAGTTAGTTTGATTCTTGATACTTGGCAGGGAATAAAGCTTTGCTTGACTTCACTTTGTATTAGTCTTGTTCCTTTGATCAAGGACCCTTATCACCAATGTCTCTATTTTCAAATAAAAGGAAAGCAATGGTACTCACTGGAAACCGTGTTGAAAATGAACTATAGAACATGTGGGTATGAAGGGAGGAAAAAAACTGGAGAAAAGTGAGAGAAGGAGTGACATTATCCAAAAGGATATCTCTTTGCCTGACTTACGTAAGTGTAAACTTTTGTTTAATTAAAAATAATAATAAGGGGCTGGGAAGGTGGCTCAGTGGTAGAGCGCTTGCCTTGCATGCATGAGACCCTGGGTTCGATTCCTTAGCACCACATAAGCAAAAAGAAAAAAAAAAGCCGGAAGTAACGCTGTGGCTCAAGTGGTAGAGCGCTAGCCTTGAGCTGAAGAGCTGAGGGATAGCGCCCAGGCCCCACTACTGGACCCCCCCCCAAAAAAAAGAAAAAATAATAACAATAAAAGGAAAGAAAGAGAGTAATGGAGGAAAATAGCATAGGAGGTCAATTTAAAAGAGAATAAAAACATATTTCTAGAAAGGCCACAGACAAAGTCTTTAAATATAGCACAACAGTCAAGTAAGAAAAACAATAAATGCAGTCATGGGGTTTGACAATACTTTAAGCAATTGATGAGCTTTGGAAAAAAATACAACTCCATGCAGCCTGTTCCACTCCCTATAGAAAGGACACAACAGCCAAGGATTATATGTGGACAGTCATTTAAGTATATATGACAGACCCCAGACTCACTGGGATACTTTCTTCAATGGGAGGGCACCCCAGGAACCAAGACTCCAAACCAGCAGATGCAACAAGCAAGATGAGTTTATTTGGCATTTGTGCAAATGGACTCTCTGTCCTGGGCAGACAGGGATCCCCGAGCAGTGGTTACAGGCACTTTTAAAGGCAAAAACCACAGGATTAGCATAAGACACCGGGCGCCCCGGGATTGGCTCAATTTAAAAATCATCATATACTCCAGCAATCATTTTGTTGCACAGGAAGTCTTGTAACACTCCTCTTTAACTGGTTGGCTCTCTAGGGGGAGGCTTCCCTGGAAGGGAGTCTACATAGTTACAGGCTCATGATTGGTTGACATTTGACCTAGTTTGCTGGGCTCGCCAGATGGTCTTTATCTTGAGTCCCTGGCTGAGAGTTTCTAAACAGGAATTTAGAAGAACATACTCTTTTGTTCTTTATCTATGTCTGCAGACCTTGTCCCAGGGCCTGTATCTGGACTCTGAAACTTTTTTACTTATTTCCCGGGAGGGTCTGTGCTAGCGTAAGCAAGTTTACAGAAGCAGAATCAGCAGTTAGTAAATTGTAAAATGGACGCAGCCCTAATTTTTCTAATTCTTCATATAGATGGCTTACTCAGGCCTTTAACATTCAAAAATACTTGGAATCATACTAATTCAATTACTCCAAAAATAATCACTACCCAGTTTAGCATCATGAAGATAGTTTAATTTGTGTCTAATAAGGGTAAGATTTCTGACCAAGGGCCTGCAAATGTACATTCCATAAGAAGTTAGCATACTAACCTCCTAAGTGTCAGTGGATCATGTAGCGCTTGCTACTTTTTCTCACATCAGTAAAAACAGAGACAGATTTGAGGTAAACTTGTATTCAACTCAGTTTGACTCTTTTTTTTGAGGGGGGGCCTGAACTCTGGGCCTGGGTGCTGTCCCTCAGCTCTTCAGCTCAAGGCTAGCTCTACCAACTTGAGCCACAGTGTCACTTCCGGCTTTTTATTTTTCTGCTTATGTGGTGCTGAGGAATCGAACCCAGGGCCTCATGCATGCAAGGCAAGCGCTCTACCACTGACCTACTTCCCAGCCCCCTCCCTCAGTTTGACTATTAAGAACATATAATCCACTAAATCTAAAAGCCATCCTTATCTTATTTATGAATGTTTTCCTGAGGCTAAATATTTTCTACATTTCCATTTTAATTTTGGAGCACATTGTTAATAAAAAGTTCCTAAAAAGCAAAGAAAGACATAAGCAAAAAACTCACCAGGGATCCACTCATTTTTTGTTGCTGTTGGCACTGCAGATATGATTGTGAAAGCAAAGCTGGAAGAGAAAGCAAATGAAATGGAATCAGGAAAGAACCAATATGAATTTTGAAAGATCCCAGACTCCTGGGATACTTTCGTCTACGGGAGGGTGCCCCAGAAACCAAGACTCCAAACCAGTAGATGCAACAAGCAAGAGGAGTTTATTCAACATTTGCGTTTGTGCAAATGGTCTCTCTGCCCCTGCAAGGGAGAGAGCCCTGAGCAGCAGTTACAGGCATTCTTAAAGGCAAAAACCACAAGATTAGCATATAACACCAGATGTCCCAGGATTGGCCCATTTAAAAGTCACTATACACTCCAGCAATCATTTTTCCTATGCGGGGAAGTTTATAACACTCTTTGTAAAACAGTTGGCTCTAATTTTTAATCTTTCAAATTTGTCTTAAATTTTCCTGCTCAAGGCAATACATTCACATGGATTGGAAAAGAAAAGAAAAAAAAACCCACCTTCCTGTACAGAAGACCTTTTCCCTAAAAAATTGTTGAATAATCTAAGTCAAAGAGAGACATATAATCTCTTTACTAAACTTAGAAATTACAGAATTGGATTGGCCGGGCGCTGGTGGCTCACGCCTGTAATCCTAGCTACTCAGGAGGCTGAGATCTGAGGATCGCGGTTCTAAGCCAGCCCAGGCAGGAGAGACCGTGAGACTACTATCTCCACCAGAAAACCAGAAGTGGCGTTGTAGCTCAAGTGGTAGAGCGTTCACCTTGAGCTGAAGAGCTGAGGGACAGTGCCCAGGCCCAGAGTTCAAGCCCCACAACCGACAAAAAAAAAAGAAATTACAGAATTGCACTTAGGAATCTATGAACTATTTTCTGGTTAATGTAAAGATATCACATAGGACTCCATTGAGTATTTTACTATATCATGTTTTGGAATATTTAAACATCATGCAAAATGTTGGTTACAACTCAGTATTTAAACTCAGAATTACAGGGGGAAAGTGAATAGAATATATATTTCTTGTGGCTTCCTGTTTCAATAATGGATCCCAGATAGCTCATCTTTCTCTAACAAAGTAGCCTCAAGCATTGATCTGGACTTTGTCATTTAACTTGCTTTGGCCAAAAAGATGTCAATGAATATTGTGTGAACAAAGTTTTGAAAATTCCTCAGTGACTGCCTCCCTTAACACAATATATTGTTAAGAATCTTGGCTATTCTGCTGGATATACATGGCCTAATCAAGAACATAAATTACTTTTAATAGGAATGATATCATCCTAAACCAACTATCCTCAGTAAGAAAATGACATGAGGAGGGGGGAGCAAGATGGCGACGGGGCAGTAGGGAAACGCCACAGCTCTCCCCAACCAAAAAGAGAGCTCGAGTTCCAATGCTTAATCTCCCCAAGAGACCAACAACAACAAAAAGACAAACACTCAGAGAAAAACCAGAGGTGGAAAATAACAAAAAAGAAAGAGAGGAAAAGAAGAATTTCAGAACAGAGAAAAGTGAAGACCCCTCCCCCAACCTTTACTGGCCGCGCGGTAGTGGGCCAAGCCGCCGGCCAGCTGGCCCGGCAGGGGCTGCCGGAGCCCCAGAGACACAGGGGGCCACCTGCAGATCACCCATGCCGAAGCCACCTGAGGTACCGGTTTGCAGAACAACTGATCGCCAGGAACAGAGAAACCTACCAGCCAGGAGTCTCCACGAGGATCCCACCCCCACCCCTCACTCTCCACCCGAGCAGAGAGGCTCCATCCCGCCAAAGCCGCCTGGCATCGGCAGCGCCACAAAGGGACCTGTCTGCAGACCACCTGCGCAGAAGCCACCTGAGGCACTAGACCCGTTGGTTCGCGATTGCAATGACCCGGCGGGGGCCGCCCAGGTCCCAGAGGCACAGGGGGCTGCCTGCAGATCACCCGCAAAGAAGCCGCCTGAGGCACCGGCCTCAGGCCCACTGGATCTCTACAACCCACGAAGAAGCCACCTAAGCGTGGACACTGTGGACCCGACAGCTTCGACAGAGGCAGAGAGAGAAAAGAATCACACAGAGCCACCACCGCCCAGTCCAGCCCGCAACCACCCAACTGAACTCGGATTGCAACAACAACTGACGACCTACACCACACAGAAACAACCAGCTCCCGGGTGAGTACCCCACAGGGGAAAGTGTATCCCTCAAGGGAGACCAGAGCTGGAGGGAATCCCCAGACCCTGACCTAGACTCCCTACCCCAATACCCGGACCACAGGACCCACTAAAACTGGGAACTGTTCGAAAGCTCCACCAGCCCATGGAGCACACTCCGCTGGCCAGGCCAGAGCAAGAGTGCCCCTGGAAGGGAGATTAAATACCCAAGCCAGGAACAGCGCCCCTGGGTCAAGACTACCAACAGTAGAAGAAATTTGAACTGTGTCCTCCAGGCTGCATAACCTAGGTGGTATACACATCAGCAAAGGCCTAACAAGCGCACTACAGGCTGGGGCCGGAACCAGGCCCGGGGATCCGGAACCTGAACAACACAACCAACTCCTCCCAACTGAAGTAAAAAGCGGAGCATATGCCTCAACAGAGGGGAGAAAATCAGGAAACAGCACTCCCCGGGAAGCACGCCTGTGACAACAAAAGACCTGGAGGCACAGGACAAGAGAAGCCCAAACCCCACCAAAACTCCACCCATATACCCTAGGCTGGAAATTGGGTAACAAAGGCTGCCAGCACCTGATAGAAAGCAGGAGCTCAGGCTGATAAGGCGGCTCAGCAGTAGAGTGATAGTCTTGGATGTATGAGGCCCTGGATCTGATTCCTCAGCATCACAAAAGCAAAAAGGGTCAGAAGTGGTGCTGTGGCTCAAATGGTAGGGTGCCAGCCTTGAGCTGAAGAGCTGAGGGACAGCACCCAAACCTA